GGGCAGCTTCCAGCACCTGTGGATCATGTTTAGGTGTTAGGTGCCTTATCCATAAGGCTAGTCTAGGTGCCTCAACTAGGTATCAAGAATATGTGGTTTGTTCACTACCCCAACTTCAGTTCCTGCCGTGACCGGGAATCAAACCTGAAACCTTTGGGTTACAAATTCAACTCCTCTACAATTAGACCACAACTTGTTACCTTAGAATTATAAGGTTCTATCTGACATTTTTGTCAACATTAAGTTAACATTATGTAATCTTTTTTTTTAATTCTTAAAATTTTTAGTTGTTTACATTTTATGGCTTTTTTATTTAAAAAACAAAAGCTTTAACCTACAAACTTGAACTTTCTGCGAGCCAATCAGCATTTCAAATGCACACACAAGGACCAATCAGGATCAGCTTTTTTAGTCATTTAGCTGGATTGCTCCGTTGACAGTGGAAAAAAACACTGGACCAGAAAAAAAAAACACACAAAATCAGAGTCAACTAAATGTGTAGAAATTTTACATAGTTGAAAAACAAAAAAACAAAAAAAAAAAACAGTTATTTAAAAAAAATGATATATTGAATGTGAAATATTTTTATTTGTGTATAGATAGACATGAAACATTTTTCAGTGTTTGTTAAACTCATTTGCTCATTATCTGTTTTCTTTTAAAGTCTTTAAATTTGATATTAGGCATTGAAGGACAAATACTTAATTTCATTTGTGGGACATATAATTCAATAAATATATATCAATAGTTCATATAAAAATATATTTTTTTAAATGACTGTTTTAATTACATAAAAATAACACCTGCACTCGACTAAATTTAGCACAGCCTTTTATGCTTAATTTGAACAAGTAATATTCATACTAAACATTAAATAATGTTATAGAAAGCAAAAATGTAACTCTCAAACATCAACATATTGTTGCATAACTTTTAAATTAAATTAATAAGCAGACTGATTGTATTTCTTGAAAAGCAATGCTTCTGCCAGATAGAACCTTTTAATTCCAAGCAGAAAATCACTTTGTAGAATTAGATGGTTCTGTCTGCATTTGCCCTGTTTGTTATACAGCAACTTGCAAATTTAAGAGAACTTTGAAAATTTACATTTAGAGCTCATTTTTGGTCTCTGTCATGTTAATGAATGAAAGAAAATGGTTACATGCATATTGCTTTCTTTATGGAATGCAAAAACTTTGAAGCGCAATATCTCAAAATCATTTAGAACACAGATAGAACCTTAGAATTTCAAGGTTACGAACTGCCTCCTAACCTAAAGGATATTTGACATCACATTTAACCAGTGTTTTAGAACCATGATGTTCTAATTGGTGCACAAACAAATAGTCACTTAAATTTGGAATGACATGAAAGAGAGAACTTTGTTGTAATTTATTCGTTTCGGGAGAACTATCCATTTATTGCTTGAAGTAGTTGAATATTGTGTCATACAGTATTTACTTAAAAAAATGTACCTCAGCTATGCATAAAAAAAAGTTTAGGCATGTAATTTCCAGTTAAAAGTCATAAATTACTTTTCTCCCTCGAGGATGAGGTGTTATAAATAGGATGTGTCAAAAATTGCTTTAACATCTCAGGTTCCTAAAATTTTATGGCAGTTTACCAGCACAGAGAAGCTCTCTTTTTAATTTAGCTTCCCACAGGCTAACCAACTGACGCCTCTTCGCGAGGCCCTGTATTTCAACAAGGCCACAAAAGCCCCAGCGCTCGGTTTCCATTCTCCACTGGCTTTTGGAGAACAGAGTGTACCATCAGCAAACTTGTGTCCCAACAAGCTGGCCAAGCCTCATCTGTCAAAGCCAGGGTGAGCGCGAGAGCGGCAGGGCGGCGGGGTGAGCGAGAGGAAGCTCCCAGATAAACATACCGCAGCGCCTAAACTCCTAATCACTCTGCGCTTCCGTTTGTAGCCTCTATAATTAGAAGGCACTCTTTTCCATGTATTCCCAGTTGACGCAAATGCTTCTTGTGGCTTGGCACCTCATTTGGGGCGTGGGTTAGTTTATGGCCAGGCCGTAACTTGGTTTAGTCTTCTGATACAGCATAAATAGCTAACCGCTGTCTAATTCACTGGCCGGCTCTGTTTTTCTTTTTCGTAGGCGCAATCTCAGCGTGACCCTTCCTTCACTGCCATAGCACACTCCCCCCCTTTGCTTCCTGCCTTACCACTCAATGAGATGGCAAAGCCACACCTAAAGCAGATCCTAAGTGTGAAAACGAAAATAACATTGACAGAAATAGGGCAGATGAGCTCATTTAGGACCGCCGCTGTTCCATTGTCACATCTGTGCGGGAGCTCGTCTGATCTTTCACCAGTATCTTCCTTTTTAGATTTGTCAGACCACCCAATAAATGCTCGCCACAAATTAAACCCCTCTGTGAACTCGGCATTAGAGATTCAGCATTGGAAAATCACTAATTATTGTCATCTTAAATTACAGTAGCGAGATGGAGAGCCAGCGGCTAAATCCATCTTAATCGTAGTGTTGGAGAAACTTTCCAAAGCGGTAGTGACCAGGCTTTCATGTGTGTGGAAAATAGCCTGTAGAGCTGTCACACTGTTTTTAGGAATAAGTTGTATGCGGGGTTGCGTTGCCATGAAGTTTAGCTTCGGGTTTTTATGTTCTGGTGTGGTTTAGTAAGTGTGTTGTTTACAGTAAGAGCTTATACTTTCTGTAGTTTCACTGACTTCAAATAAAAGTGGGAAAATGAGAGGCCCTGTCATCGGAGGTTCCACTTGGGTTCTCCTGCGGTTGTGTTTAAAACAGATCCACATATTGTCTGGCCCTGAAAGCTGAGGGATGATCTTGGCCTGCAGTTAATTCTAGAACACAAATTGCAGTGGAACACAAATGCCCTTTACAGCCATGTAAACGTGTCTAATGAAATACTCAATGCTTGAAGGCAGTCTCGATGACTTCGTTTTTTGACCTGCTTTTAAGTTCAACGTCAGAAATGATACACTTAGAGCAAATGTAATGTTTTGGTTGAAATAAGGTTAGAGTTTGATAAACAAAAAAATGCATTATTTCAAAGATTTTGTTAGAGAGGATATTCGCAAAGTTGATGAATAATGCATTAGATAAAATAAATAAATTACATTGATAAGATATTTTGAAAACAGTAAAACCTACTAAAAAGCTAAAACAGTGAATTGCTCAATAACATGTACACTGTAAAACCCAAAAGGTTAAGGTAACTCAAACCATTTAGGGAAACTGATTGCAACAAATCATTTAAGTTCAAAAATGGATCCAAATGAGTTCTGAGAACTTAATTAATTTGGGTAAACGAAGCAATTTGAGCCCAGTAAAACCCAATAAATGAAGATAACTCAAACCAATTGAGTACTGTAAAACCCAATAAGATAAGGCAACTCAAACCATTTGAGGAAACTGACTACAATTGAGTTAAACTAATCTATATGAGAACTGTGAACTTAATCCAGTTAAAGTAATGAGGTAATTATTAAACTTCAACACTCTTTTCATATAAGTAGAATTAACTTTCGGTCAATTTTCAGTTCACTACACTGATTTCATTTAATAAAGTTGACTGTTAGGTTTTACAGTGTAATGAACATAGCATATTTACTTAAATCAATAATCCATAAAAATTGGCATATATTATCTTCTGATGAAACTATAAAGAATAAATTTCAACATCATCCATTATTCACTTTAAAAGATCCCAAAATTTAGCAAGTATAATGATCAACTTTGATATAGTGAGAAATAAGAAATCCACTTTTATACAAGGTTGTTTTCTGTGCGGAAAATGTGCCGCATGTCAGAATTTAGTAGTGTAAGGAAATTTCGAATCCAGTGACAGGTAAAAATTATTCGAAAATAAAAACCTGTATTACCTGCTCAACTCGTATGTATATGTTAAAATCCGTGTCAAAAGATAAAAGATATATATATATAGGGAAGTCATCATATCAGTTTTGAATTAGTGAACATAATGAAGTATATGATGACAAGATATAACTTCAGCAGTAGCAAGGCGTTTTATAGATTTGGACATGACTTTAAACAACTAGAATGTATTGGAATTGAGTATTTGAGTCACATAGAGGAGGTAATCTGAATAAAAAAATTATTACAGAGAGAAGCGTTATGGAGTCATAAATTAAAATCACTTACACCAAGAAGAATAAATGAGGAATTGGACCTTTCTTTGTTTGTTTTTTAATGTGTTTGTTTTTTGTGTTTGTTGTTCTGCTATAATATTGTAAATCATGGATTTTAGGTATGTAATAATACAAATTATGAGATGAAAATGTATTTTTTATGTTTTGGAATGTTGCAATTTCTTGCATTGACATAGACATGAATAAGTGAATGATGACAATTGAAATGTTATTTTCCTGTGCAATGGAGGTGAAGCTTTTTAAGGTGAAGGAAAATATTTCTTGTGTGGTTATTTATAGTATATTGAAATGAAAATGAGATGTTTTTGAGAAAAATGAGGAAATGTTTTAACTATAGAGGGGCCGTCTAACTAATGATGTAATGTGATTGACTGTGGGATAAAAGGGTGGATTGTGTCACGCACTGAGGAAGGCATTGTGCCGAAACTTCTGTTTTGCATCACCTAAGAATGTAAAATAATATTATATACAAAGTAATTATTTAATGAGTGCGAATCATGACCTTCTGAATAATATTATTGACTAGATTAACGCAACATAAAATTTAAAAAACGTGAGTGTGCAGGGCAAACTTAATTACTGAACGTTGAAATAATGTTTTGATGGTCCATGTTGAAAGGTGATAAGATTATGAAAACTAAATAATTGGTAACATTTTCAATTCCTGAATATTTGCTTACATTTTCTTTTCAATCCCTTTTGCAAACATTTTATGCAATTATTCTGTTTTAAAATCTGAATGCAGTCAGTGTAATGGTGAAATTATTCTCTGAAAAATGCATTAATTAGTTATATAACTCTTTAAATGATCCTCTTTTCTGATGTACAGGTATGTTACTGGTGACCGCTGACACCCTTGGCCATGATTTCCACGTTTTCCAAATCTTGACTCACCCATGGGCATCATCCCAGAGTGCAGTTCATCATCTATACACACTCCACAGAGGAGAGACTGAGGCTAAGGTAAGAATATATGTTACTTTCAGCACTGTCCTTTTATGCACAGTAACATGAGTGCATACTCGGAAGCTTGTGTCCTGCAAATGGAAGAACAAAAAGAAGCGTTCAAGTAATACATTGACAGTGTGGGATATTAAGTCAAACTTCAAAGCTCCCCGTTTCATCCCTTGCTCACACACACGTGACTGTGTACACTCATGCTATTTTCGGGGGAGTTATTGAGATGAAATATTGCCTTTCCTAACTCTTTTAATCATTAGCATAATCATTTAAAGTCTTTGTGGCCACCCACAACTGTTTACGGTTGCTTGTGCTTGTATGGCTCTGGAAATGTGCAATTTGAACATGCTTTTCATCGTCAGTGAATCCCTGCGTGTTATCTAAATACTGTCAAGAGACATGAGGCTTTGTACAGTTGAGCTCCAGAACACAGGCACTGCTGTCTCTGGTTCTTTTATTGTGTGTCGGAATGTATAATAAGTGTGGATATGAACCCATCTGATTGATCTTAAACACAAGATATATGACCCACTGCTACTGCGCCCTAGTTCTAAAATGAGTGCAAAACTGTAGCTTAAACTCCTTTTGTTCTTCAGAATTAATGCATTTTAAAACTGCTATTTTCTCCCAAAATTAACATTTTCAGTCATTACTTAACCTCTTGTCATTATGACTTTTTTATGTTTTTCTATTTAAACATTTATATGATATTTAACAAAACAGTACAATACCAATAAAAGAAGAAAAAATCGTACATAATAATTGACAATAACCTCCCTTCCCCCAATAAAAAAATGAGAGATCGTCTCTGTTACCAAATACATACACTACCAGTTAGAAGCTTGGGTCAGTTTTTATTTTTTCCATTTTTTTTTTTATTCGAAATTGTACGATTTTTAAAAAGGAGGCGTGGCACCCAATCCCACCCCTAAACCAAACCGTCATTGGGTGATGAGCAAATTGAACTAAATTGTACAAATTAGGTTGATCAAATTCGTATGAATTAGCCACTAAATCAAAAAGTTACGAATTGCTGTTATATTGCCTTGGTATTTTTGATTAAATAAATGCAGCTTTAGCGAGCAGGATAAGCTTATTTTAAAACATTTAAAAATCTTACTGACCCCAAACTTTTGACCGGTATATTTATATATATAACATATGTAGCAAAAACATATAAAGAAGAACTTTTGATAGGTCCCCATGTGGTTTCAGTTTTTTTCTTTGAAGTTTTAAAACGTAGTTGTTCCATTTGAATGACATAAAGCAACTCAATCATCTATGATAATAGGGAGCCTTTGGAGATTTCCAATTAAGTAAGATCATCTTTTTAGCTGTAATCATGCCAACCATCAGGGCTTGCTGTTGGGTCAGTGGAAAGGTGTCCATAATATTAGAATATCCAAAAATAGCCAAGTTGTAGTCAGGGTGGATATTGGTTCCAAAAGCACTGGAAAACGATTCAAAAATGTTGGACCAAAACTTATTAAGAACAAAAAAACAAAATAAATGTCCTTGAGTCCTTTCTGCTCCACCACATGTCACATATAGGAGACTTTCGATTCGATCAAACATTTGTTTGTTTGTGTTCTGAATATGAATGAAAGACCCATGGGTTAAGGGTAAGTAAATGATGACAGAAGTTTCCTGCAAAAGGAAAAGTTCAGTCAGTCCTCCTTGACTTTCTTTACTCTGTTGTCTGTCTGTGGTAATCTGTACATCAGGGCTTTTCCATAGTTTCTCTCTCTTTTTTTTGTAGGTAGACAACTTTTGCCCTCAGTGCAAAGAAAAAAAAGTTTAATGGATCCACACAAAACATTTGTGCTCTCAGCAGTTAGTCTTTGCTTATTCTAAAACTTCCTCCCCTGTGACTCCCACATTCAGATTTCAACACTTTGGAATCCAAAGACCTGAAACTATTAGTGTTGCCAATGTGTTTTCAATCACCAAGGCTGCAAAAAAGAGAAAAGTTGCTAAAAATACCCCAGACAACTGGTGAGAGCTTAGATTTTGCTCCTGACCGGAGCTTTTACTCTTGCACCTTGAGGTCAAGCTTGGGTCTTGTAACACCTACAGTATCTTAGACTATGAGGTCATGGACTAGAGGACAATCCCACTGGGACAACATGGTTGCACTTGCGACTTTACACCACTTTCTCTTAAATCCCTGGAAGCAGGCTATTGGCAGTGCTAGATACAGCCTCCATGATTTTCCCTTTTCTGCCCAGCTCTATAAATTACTAACTAATGTTGTTATTTGAAACAGAATTGGCCTTTGGATTTTGCCTATCCAGTTAGCCAGCTAGATGTTTGATTTTAGCATTTTAGTTTAGATTTAACCACTCAAACACACTTACACAATTATCTCTTTATTTCATTTTTATAGTATAACCTACTTTTTTTGCATGTTTGAATACTCACACACACACTCTAAGTATCCATAATTAAATAATGTATTCTAATAATAATCGGCAGTAGAAAACAGTCAAATCCCTTTAATTTGTTTGTATGCTTTTTGTAACGTTACTCAGGTTGAATAGTTGAAGCGGACATCTAAGGACATGATCTGATTATTAGCGTCTGCCAAGCTTTGGTAATCTATCTGGGTGCTTTAAAGTTTAATTCACTTTTGTGATCTATTGGGTTATTGCACAAAACAGTTTGGGAAATAACTGCAGTGATTTAGTTTTCCTCTCTCCTAAATGCTGTTTCATCCATTTAGCCTTGCAGCTGTTCCACCACAATATCTCCTTTAGTTGGCAAATTGTGAGGTTTTATTTGCCTAAGAAGAACTAATATTTATTCCGAAAGGACCTAGACCCTTACTTACTCAGCCAGTGTCATGTTTGGATATGCACACAAACCTGATCTCTGCACTAGTTTATAGACATACACACAAACACACACACACACACACACACACACACGCGCGCATCTCTCGCAGTCGCACTAACACATTCAATGTCTAAAAGCATGCCAGACATATTTCCCCCAATTTAAATCCTTCATTACTCGACAAATATTAACACAACTGCGGAATAAAAATAAAAACTTATTAGCGTATAGTGTTATGTCTATTACAAAGCCTTGCATTTTTATGTTTTCACAATTCACTTTGTCCCTTTACCCTTGAAGTGCACTCTGAGCCCGGTCAAAAATGGCTGGGTACTGGCCTGTGGGTGAAGTTTAAGTTCTTCTCGTTCCTGCTTCTTATACCGAAGGTGTGATTACCTTACCCGGGCCCTTCAGGCATGGCAGAGAGCGTGTAAAACATTCTCATTTTCCCTCCTCTGTGAGCACAGGGCCGAGGTGGCCCGCAGCTCCGCTGAGATGAGAAAGGTGGTTAATCTGTCACCGGCTCATGCCAGGTTTGCTGCCTGGCCACGAGCTGGCTTTGATCTGGCATTGTAAACAGCGCAAACTGCAGAAAGCAAGCACCCTCCAAGACGCATTATCTTGAGCTGAACAAATAAAAGGAGTGATAATGCCTCGTGGGCGGACGCAGCCACCCGGCCTTATCTGGCTGACTGTGCTTGTACTGACTCCCAGCCTGCTCCGGTCTGACCTTAGTGTGCGTGAAGGTAAATAGCCCACAAGTCTGCATTGCCTGAAGCCATACACTGCTTTAGCTGTTCCGCGCAGCACATGACTGACCAAACAGCTCATTTAATTTGTGTCTGATTAACCAATTTCAAGATTTCAGTCCTTGTCTTTGGGCGCCTGAATTTTATTTTTACACCTCCAAGTGCAAATCAATGAAGTGGCGTCGTCGACCCTGAACAGAAAGTGGCCACTGTTCTATTCGGTGGCTCATTTCTGAGTTGAGACTGATCTGAGACAGATACTGCAGAATGACCCAGAATCAGGCAGATCTCCAGACAGCTGCATTCCAGTAGCTGATGGCTATCCATAAAAAGTGCAGTAAAAAAGCCATTAGCTGAACCTTGCTGATGGCTGAGTGCTGTTTGGTAAAGCCCAGTGTAAGATTTCTGGACCATGTCTTGAGGAAGGTCCATCATCACTTTATAGAGCTAGCATTAGTTCACACAGGTTCTTCTGTTCAAAAACAGCTAAGATAGAATTGTAAGATGCTCTCTTATAAAACATTGCTCATGACGCAAGGTGTTGAAAAACAGGTTGTCTGTCTGACACTTGTATGTATCGGATTAACATTTTCAAAATAGCATTGACTGAACATAAGGGTCTTTTAAATGTATAGAAATCACCTTTTTGGTAGTTTCAGGGTCTATAGTTCATTGTCTGTAGGGAGTTTATTTATACAAGAGAAGGTTATAAATTCAGGTATTTCATGCCAATAAAGAGGATCTGGTGATCCTTTCCTTTAACTGTCCAACCCACAGTCTAACACCTCTTTTGTTTCTTTTAGCCATGCCATACCTCATTTTCAGTAGATTACATCTGTTTGCCTTTACCAGAAATGTTTTGAAAAAAATGTCACTTACCATAGAAAATTCCTACACAAGTCAGGTTGCATTCCTTAAAGTTAGCTAAAGCATGTTTATCCATGCTATTGATCTTAATGTGAATGATTCATTCTCCATTGATCCATTATTTTTTATATACAGTTGAAGTCAGAAATATTAGCCCTCCTGAATTATTAGCCCCCTTGTTTATTATTTTTCCCATTTTCTGTTAAATGTAGAGAAGACTTTTTTTTTCAACACATTTCTAAATATAATAGTTTTAATTTTGACTTTAAAATGGCTTTGAAAAAAAATTCAAACAGATTTTATTCTAGCCGAAATAAAGCAAATAAGACTTTCTCCTGAAGAAAAAATGTTATCGGAAATACTTTGAAAATTCCCTTGCTCTGTTACATATCATCTGCAAAATAGAGAAAAAGAGAAAGAAAAAAAAGTCAAAGGGGGGCTTATAATTCTGTCTTCAACTGTATGTTTTGACCTGGTAATGTTTAATTGAAATATTGTAACTCTGATTGAAACACTTGTGGCTGGGCCTGACGTTGGCATCCTAGTGCATACCAGGGCCAGTTGTGTTTCCACTGTTACATCTGATGCATGGTCAGCCCTTGTTGGGGCTTTCTCTGGGCCAGCAGCCAGAGGCTTTTGGCTCGTCAAAGACTAAAACTGGAGTAGCTGCAGTTTGATGAGTAGCCACGAATAACTGCATAGTTCACTCATGTTTACAGATCAGACGACATTTTAAAATGAGTTCAGCTCAAAACAAACTTTCAGACACCAGCGTGTCTCTTAAATAACCCAGATTGTGATATATGTAGGTTTGATACTTTTGTGAGGCAGAAATATATTTAGGGAGTTATATAAATGAATATTATAAAAGCTATTTATGCTGGCAGTTGCCATAATAAATACACATTGCTTGTTTTTGAAAATTCCAGAGGCTATTCCTTGCCACCATATTTCATCTGTCATATTTCATATTTCACCCTGTGCCTTTATTGAATCTGAATTTCTGAATCCACAAAGTGATTATTTATAATACTTATCATATTACTTGTATAATGCATATAACTCATTTATTATATAAACCATATAACTTTTTTTGAAGCTTTTGTAGCTTTGACTGAAGTGATATCACCTGATCAGAAATCGGGCCCGTTCACACAGTTTCAGACTTGATCAGAATTGGATGTTACCTTCAAATCAGGAGGACTTGAATATATATGTATATAATTTAGATTATTTTTTAACACACAAATAGTTAAGTGGCGGCACAAAGTTAGACCTTTTTTTTTAACCTCACACAGATACCGAAACACGTGCGGCGAATGTATTGAGGGGGATTGGTTGTCCCGCATGTACTATGGTTAAAAAACACTATAGCGTTTGCTATTCATTCATTCATTCGTTTACTTTTCAGCTTAATTCCTTCATCAATCTGGGGTCACCACAGCGGAATGAATCGCCAACTTATCCAGCATGTCCTTTACACAGTGGATGCCCTTCAAGCTGCAACCCATCTCTGGGAAACATCCACAAACACTCATTCACACACACTCATACACTACGGACAATTTAGCCTACCCAATTTGCCTGTACCATATGTCTTTGGACTGTGGGGGAAACCGGAGCACCCGGAAGAAACCCACACGAACGTTGGGAAAACATGCAAACTCCACATTGAAATGCAAACTGAACCAGCCGAGGCTCGACCCAGCGACCTTCTTGCTGTGAGGCAACAGCACTACCTACTGTGCCACCGCTTCGCCAGTATTTGCTATAAATTGCTATAATATATTTTCATGTGCGTGCCTGACAGCTGAAAAAAGATCTGGTAGCAGAAATCACAGCCTTGGTTACTTTTTACCTTGAATCTTTTTGTTAACATTTATTATTATTTATGTATGTAGTTTATTCATTTTCAAATTTTTATTTCAATGCCTAATTATTAAATTGTTAAAATGACTATAATTAAATGAAATGTTCTTAAAAAAACAAGATATGAGGTGTTCTTTGGAAGAGTGTACTTGCGTTATAATGTTATTATATTGTCTTAAAATGACAATAATATCGTTTATCGCAATACATTTTGGTGCAATATATCGTACAACAAAAAATAGATATTGTGACAGGCCTGTCTGTTTCTGCTTTTGGGAAATTTTCAATTTAAGCATCTTTAATTTGACTTACTATAATGCTTCTACTAGGAGCTTACACTCAGACAATTTCCTGTAATGAAAATTCTGATGTCTTTCAAATTCTAACCAATTCGAATCTGAAAACTTGTTTTGTCATTCTGTTCTCTTACCATTCTAGGTGCAGGACATCTGCTTCAGCCATGACTGCCGCTGGGTGGTGATCAGTACTCTCCGTGGCACGTCTCATGTCTTTCCCATCAACCCCTACGGTGGTGCGCCATGTGCTCGCACCCACATGTCTCCTCGTGTGGTCAATCGCATGAGCCGTTTTCAGAAGAGTGCTGGACTGGAGGAGATTGAGCAAGAGCTGAGCAGCAAACAGGGTGGCCGATGTAGCCCCATTCCCGGCCTCTCCAGTAGCCCATCTGGATCACCGCTACATGGTAAGCAAACACAGCCATGCAGTCACATTTACCATCAGTTGCCAGAATTTAAATCGAGATATGTGTGAGGATGAAACAACATCTCTCTCAGGTTACAATTGAACGATAAAAAGCTGATTGGTTTGAAAGTCATCTTATGTGCGAGTTGTGCTTCATATATTTTTACACCACAATTTGATAACAAGACCACACATTTGCTTCGAAAATACAATTCCCACAAAAGAAACTGACTTATAAGGCGGCAATAGTTAACCCCATGAGCATTTCTAAATTCTAGTACTAAAACATTCCAGACTGGAGACTCTGAATTGATTTCAGTTGAGTTTAAAGGCCAATTTACACTGCAGCGACAGATTGGCCAGCAGCAACAGACACTGTCAGATTTTGTCGGATCAGTGCATAGTCCCTGTTGCCATTGGTTGGTGCTTGTTTTTAACATATTTGGTAATGGTTGGTCACCATCTTATATTTATTTTCACTAAGCTCAAAATGCAACTCAATTGACTTTGAAATCCTGGCCATTAAGGGGTTAATCAAGGCACCCCAGCAGACCTTGTGATTGAGCCTTTTGACCTCTGTCACAACACTTTGTTGTTTGTTAAACACTGTCCCTGGCTGCAAACACACTAACACTGACTACGTCTGACTGTTACGTACATACACACCCACCACACAGCACACACACACACACACTTCTCATCTCTGTGCTGATTGCCACAGGAGCTGGCAAGCCTGTCAGTGTTGTTTGCCCATCAGCACTCCTCACTCCACAAAGCAGAGGTCTGATTAATCAATACCCCATACTTGCTGAAAGCCCCCTACTGGTACGAACACAGGAGACTCATGTCAGCTGCTAGGTGTTTGCAAAACTTACCAAAAAGTTTGACACAGTCTTGCTGACTCCGTCACCCAAAGTCTTACATCAATTGACTTGACACTGAAGCACCTCAAAAAGCTTTTCACAAAGTTACTCTTAGCTTTAAATTTGTCATATAATGAAAATCTGGATATACCTAGGTAAAGCTGAAAAATAAGTGTTCACTACACCATTGCTTTCTCATTGTAATGGTAATCTTATGAGTGTAAAATTGCAGTGAAAGAACAGGCTAATTGAAGCAATATTGTTACGTTGCTCTCAGTATAATTAAAATCCATGCCCCAGGCTGTGCTTGATTGGATACAATGTTCCTGGTGAGATTACAAAAATTATATATTTTCCTTATTTTTAAGTTTACCTTAGCTTGAATGAAACATACTATGTGTGTGGGACTCTTAATATGAAAAAGGGAGAGCCAGTAAATGAGCTCAGGCAGCCACATTTGCGTCACGTTTGTTTACAGCTTGTCAGAATAAAAACTCATTATATGCAAATTATACATTTCTTCAGCATCACCCCCTGAAGAAGCATGAGGTCTGTTTAAATGTAGAGAGTCAACACACACATTTTAACTGCTTGAGTATAACGTTTTGATATCGCTTGTAATCAGTGTTGGGCAAGCTACTTGAAAAATATAGTGAGCTAAGCGATTAGCTACTCTACTTAAAATGTAGCTTAACTAAGCTAAAAGCTATCCTCTGGGAAATGTAGCAAGCTAAGCTAAAAGCTACTTGGCAAAAGTAGTTTGGCTACATCTAAGCTATTTTTGCAATTTTCATTTTTAAATCAAAGCAGCTCAAATCCAAGTCAATCATATCTTAGTGATCGATAAAGCTGTCAATAAATCATATGAGGCATAACTGTTCAATTCAGTTATTTGCTGCAAATAATATGCTGAAACAGAAACAAATTATAGTATATAACAGCAAAAACAAAAAAATCCAATAAAACCAGGTGTCACACATTTAAAATACTATAGTAATTTATAGTAAAGGGAAATATTTAAGAATAAGCATTATATTTTAATTTATATTTACAACTTCATTAATAGATTACACTACACTATATATATATATATATATATATATATATATATATATATATATATATATATATATATATATACACTATTAGTACCAAGTACCACCACAAATTTGAGTGTCACTATTGTGTAGTTCAAAAACATTATAGTACTTACTACTAAAGTATGTTTTAGGCACAGCATCAGAATTAACGTTATTGGATCATCTCATGTACTTCTCAAAGTATGCTCACAAGGAATCCTGCTTTAGAAATAATTACTCTCCCTCATTCATCTTACCATCAGACAAATTTCTGGTGTTAGCCAAATTTTTTGGCGATGTCACCAGTTAGAGCGAGAAGTGGCAGTAACGCATCAAAAATTTGTTGTCGACCACCGAAAAACAGAAAGGAGAAATCGTCATCCTCACCATCAAATGGATGTACTTTCATCGGCTAGACACCAGTCTTACATGACTGTCAGTGTCGTCACTATTTGATTCACGATCGGTAAATGTAGCTTGGGTGGACACTACAGAGCTACTTGACCAAAAAGTAGCTTTGCTACTACAAAAGCTATTTGGTTTAGAAAGTAGCGACGATACTGCCACGCTACTGAGAAATGTATTAAAGCTAGTAGTGTCACTACTTGTAGCGACACTCCTGCTCAACACTGCTTGTGATAAATATCACTTATCTCTGACTGTGATTTTTCTTGAATGAAAAAGTATCCAGTATATTTGATGAAACTCCTCTGTTCATGCAAAGGTTGATATTAACTCAGTAATTTGTTCAGTTATTTTTAGGACCATGGTTATAAATAAACATATAAAAACTTTTCTGCATAATTTTTGAAAGTACCTAACCAACATACATGCTATATAGATATCAGAGAATAGTTCACCACGTTCACTAAAAATTTCAGAAACTACTTGATGAATTCACAATATTTGGTCACACCAGAACAAGTCCAATATATTAGAAAATCGGCATAGTAAAATTGCAGTTAAAAATCTTTAAAATTTGCAGTGAAATCTTACTCAAACTGCCTAATAAATGTTACTTGTAATGTTCAAATTTGTCTGTTAGATTAAAAAAAAAAAATTAAATTTATATTCAGTCCATTTGAAAAAATACTGATTCATTAGATTTATTTATTTTTTAAGGGAACTGGTTGCAAGCAATTTATATGGGCTGAATTGAAACAAATTAGGTTAAGCATTTCTAAACTTGATTTGTTTGTTTATATTCAGCTTATATAAATTGTTTGTTACCTTAAAAAACATTTGTGAATCCAATGAATACTTTTTTTCAGTGTATGTAACATTTACTTGTCCAATTTAGCAGACTTTTAAATAATCTGCAAGTTATATTTAATAATGCATGTAGATATCTATCTTGACAGTTTCTATTTTGCTGATATGTTTATTATTATAATCAAGTCATAATCAGAGTGACTCATCTTTTCTTTTGACCTTTTTCAACTAAATATTAAGACCTTTTTTTGTCTGGTTTCACTTTGAGCAAGGCTGTGACATCACATGGCCGGAATGCTTGGCGTCCCGTTTAAGGATGGCTACCAGCAGCCGTGAAAGTGGGCCTCAGAAGCCCTGTCGTAAATCAGACTCACTTTTCAAAGCCAGGCATTAGAAGCACCTGTCAACAATTAGTCCTATCAGCCTCAGTCCGATGAGCCACTTTGACAACGGGGTTCTGAGGTGACATTTTTTTGGGGCTGGGAACAGGATGGAGGAATCTAAGAAACAGAAGTCTGAGGCAGTTCAGAGGCAACCTTGGACTGTCCGGATTTTATAACCTCAAGGATCATTCCATAAGTCCTTAAGCCAAAAGATGGGAGGATAGCAGGATGTGGCTTTTGAATTAAGATGAAACGGTGTGGGGGAGAAAGGGAGACAAAGTGGTCTGCACTTTTCCGTAGTCCCCGAGGGCCTCTCCTATGGGCTCATATACTTGGATCTGGAATGCTTGAGCTGCTCACATATCCTGTCGGAGATGTTGCTTTATTTATTTATTTTCTCAAACTAGCCATTCATTTTTCATGAAATATTTCAGTGTTTGACATTTTACACTCCACAGTTCTAACATCTACTCGAGACTTTAAGTTAAACTTTTTTTTTTTTTGAAATTGATATTTACTATTTAAAAAAAATATATATTTATTTATTGAGTTTTTGCATTTACAATTTAAAGCAGTACATTATCCCTCCGCTATCACAACCACGGCATTGAAAGAAAAAGAAAAAAAGTTGACAGTGTGCCATATTTGTTCAGTCCATGTTTTTATTAAACATGAGACACTTGGCAACATCTAAAAGAAGGAATATACAAAAGAGGTGCATCTTAATACAAAAATAAATAAAATAAAAACAGGTTATATCATCTTGAATTACAAAAACTTCCAGATATGTCAGTGTTAACATTGAGGCAATGCATTGTTTATTTTTTTGGTCAATATGTTATCATTTGACATGACGGACTTGGTAACATTCAAAGAGTAAAAAAATACAAATGACGTAGAAGAAAAATAAAATAAAATAAATAAATAAATTTATTCTTAAGGGAGTTCTTCAAAGTATTTAATAAAGGGGGACCAGTTGTCTAGAAACTTCGAGCCTCGAATCATGTACTTAATCTGTTCCAATTGAATGTAAGACATCAATTCATTTATCCAGCCAGTGTGCATTGAGGTATTATTCAAGTATATTCAAGTATTAATCCACATGAATAATATTAAATGTATTCTAGTGTTAAATGTATTAATGTATTTCTAGTAGTCTGAATGTTTATCTTTACTGAGACCTATATTCTCAGGCATGACCATGGATCTGGGATGCCCATTAATAGATCTGGCACAATTGGAATGCTATCTGTTCATATGTTTCAAAAATCCCCTTTCAAAACTCTATTTTGCTCTGCTATTTTTAATTAACAAAATTGACATTTCTTTTTAAATTTATTTTTGATGTTAAAATATTTTTTACTGCTTCATTTTTTCTGTAGAAGCTAGAAATTCTGTAGTTTTTTTTTCAGTAATCTAGGATGACAATTCAAAAGAGAAATCTTAAAAAAATTAAATAAAAAG